AGGGGCATTTTTTAGCTTGACGCGCACTTACTTTTAGCTAATCACAACACCCTGTTGGCCGAAGAGACCGTGCACATACCACCTGTCCATGAGCGTTGTGCCACCGTAGAATGCCGTCCAGTTTGGGCTGCCTAATGACACCATAAGAAGAAGATTTCGCTTTGTAAGAAAAGTTGAGGGGGAGCCTTCATATAAACAAGTTGTAACAGCCATGATATTCTTGTCAATGTAGCTGAGACCTAGCGACCACCGCCGAGCTTTAATCACGCTTATGCATTCTCAGCTATTTTTATTAAATCGAGCAAGATTAGCGCCCCCTCCCCATGGCTCCTGGTAGCTTCAGCACTCGCACTTTGACCCGTTAACTAGTCAATGTAACTGACAGAGATCTGTGAAGGTTATTTTGCGCGTCGAAAAACAGTACTCAACCCTGGTCTCAAAATATCGAGTTCGGTCTCTGCCCCGTTTCCTGAATTCAGTACAGGTCTGATTTGCCGGGGTAGGAGGAAAAATAAAAGTCGCCATTAAAGTGACTTCAAACGCCATGTTATTACTCACTGGCCTGTACAACATTTATTCCACTTTCCCTTTGGTTGCTGATAATTTACATTTAGGAGTTCGACAAATGTAAAAGGAAAACAAACAACAAGACCTTTCGGTCCAGTCCAGGAGCAAATCTGTTCAATTCAGCGTCTGTGAAATGTGAGAAACAACAGGAAGCCTTCCGTTGTCCCACCTGCGTGACGAAGGCTTCGTACCGACAACGAGAAGAATATTAAAGATCAGTGTAGAAAGCACGTGCAGTCTAATAATGCACGTAAAGCAAAGGAACAAACGTGGATGTGCTTCTTGATTTCATCTGTAAGGAACTGTTTTTGAAATTTGGTAAAGAACTACCCTTCTGTAGTATGCATATTGTCTCCTGACATACGTCTCTGTTTTCAACAGTTGTTAGGAATTCACGGTATTTATTCAATGACCATATTGGCAGAACCAGGCGTTCCTTGGAAAATATCCCATAATAAAGATTAACCCGGAACGTCAAAACTACCCTTTAACAGTACTCAACAGAGAAACAAACATGAGAATATGACATATCTGCAGTGACCATTTTAATTATAAAGGCTATGTTACACGTATTTTTTAGATAGACCTTCAATGTTTCATGTTGTCATCATTTATAAGTCGCTATGGTAAATGACAATTTTCCTATTATTCGATTACACATGAACTTACAACAATGAATATTATAACATCTTTGGCCCTTGGGGATATACCTGAGGAAAATTGAATTGCCTTCTATTTATCAAATCATAAACCAATTTTCAAGGATTGTGTCGTGTGCTACGTTACTCAGGAAATGCTTATCAGTAGCATTTTAACTTATGCTTAGCAATCAAGTATAACCTTGAGCATCTACACCTTCTTCTTAATGATTCTTTTAGCTGCGCGTTTTACAGTATCGCGTTGACTGGGGTTTCTTTTCTCTGCTAAAAAGCATAACAAATACAAGCGGTAATATATTTATATTCCGCTGAGATGTCATAATACATTGTTCCTATAATTCGCGAAATAAATAATATATACATTGGGAAGGGCAAGAGAACCTCAAACGGAAATCACATTGAGCTAGGCCTACATTGACAATTATCAGCTAGTTGCAAAGTACATTGACCGATCTCTTCAAAGGCAATCTACTGTGGGCGTAATAGACTTACATGTGAATGTAATTTTTTCCCCTTTATTACGGTTGCACAGTTCACACCTCTAACTTGGAGAAAATACGACTTCGCTGTGTTGGGCATTGCTGTCCAAGCCCTTACAACACTCGGGAAGATTACCGATCGGTTCCAATTAAAGTTTAAGTGAAGAAATTGAAACCGCGTATGATCCGACGGGGCAGTATAATTATGCGAACAGGGACAGATTGTACTGACGTTCTCTCTCCTTTTGTTGGAAGATTTCGCCGCGCAGCGCAACGTCGCACATTCCATCGATGGAAAGCTACTCAGATAAAAATCTTTGGGGATGGTGATATTGCGATATCCAATTTCCTCACAGCTTTTACAGTTTTCATCAAATGCGTCATTTCCTCGTTTATCCCGTGGACATGCTGACAAATCGATAACATTTACCAGCTCAAGTTGCCATTTATCATAATAGAAGCAGCACAGTATCCACCAGGTTGTGCTGTCTGGAGGCTATCAACTGCCGCCAGAGCTTCACTATTTAGAATGTCCTTCGTGATATTACTTTTGCATCGCCTTTCCATGACATCTGCTTCGAATATTACACGTTTGTATATTAAAATAGAAACCAACTCCAATACAGAGCATATTAGTGAATATCGTCTATGAATAGAATACAAGAAAGCAAAACTTCACTTTCAGCTGTTAAACATTATTTTACATAACTTTGAACCCAAAGTTGAAAGACTATGGGAATTTACTTCTTTGACATGCGAGTTACTCTTGTGAACGGATCGAAAAACCGGACTCCAATACCCATAAGGATTGCTTCTGTGACAAACTACATCAACATCAGCAAATTTATCGCGAAAAAAACCAGTTACATTCTATATGTTGGGCGTTTCTTCAACGTGTCAAGGTAACAGTGGCATGAATTGGTGTCAGCGATTGGGGAGACGAGGGATTGGGAATTGTTGGCGTCTGTGACATGTCATATGGCATATATGACATAATGTCCGGTGATGTGCTTGATACAGATGTACATCTGTGATGTATTACATTTCGGCCGAATCCTCTATCACAACGGCATACTGACGGCCTTGTTTACTGTCCTCCTTTTGGAGTGCTATTCATTTTTGTTCGTTAAGAAATCAACTAAATTCTTTACAATCCACCTTATTTTTTCTCACCACAAAAAAGCGCGCGGGTGATTCAACAGCCCATCCCTCCTTGGTCAAAATGTGTGTGTGTGTGTGGGGGGGGGGGGTAAAATATCCCCTGGGCCTTACGCCCGTGTGAGACAACGTACCATTTTCAGTCACAACGCAACATGCACACTCATCTACTCACACAGCTCCGTGCATTCTTCGATCTCCTTCATTACATCTTAATCTCACCCACTGCCAGCCACCAATACCTCCACATCAAGCCGTACTATTTCTCTAACATTTTTAACAAATCAACATCAAATCAAAACAAAACCAGAGCATCGTTGTTTTCAAACTGCAAATCCAAACCAAAAACAGAAACCAAAACCAAGCAAGATGCTGGTAAACCATGGTGCCACTAAGCAATCACGGCACTACACACTCAACTTCCAAGCGTCCACTTTACATTCTTGTCAACATTCTCGGTTTTTTTATCGAACACGCCCATTTGTGAAAAAAATGAGGGCTGACGCGAAAACGTTCAAAACTACCGAAGAGACAAATACAGGTGCGGTAATTTAATCGTATCCGTGGAAACACCTGACACATTGCCCATCCTGGCACAGGCGCCATTTCCTTATCAGATGAAGCCCGTGCTCGGATCAAAGGGTGCCGACCGGAAGAAAGAGCGCCTACGAAGGCAAATTCACAGAATTCCGCCCGGTCCAAAACTATAGAACTTTTTTTTTTGTTTTACAGGAATAGATTTGTGTTTATTCCCAAGTTTAAAGATCCTTGCTTAATGTTGATGTTCGGCTGTACCTTTAGTTATCTTACTTTTTTTTAAACCCTCTCCTCTATCTCGTAAATGTAGCCACACATAAATGTTATTGTGACAAATAAGGAACCAGGCAATGTAGGCCCACAGGCGCTTACCTGGTACCGCCATTCATCACCCCTTATTCATTCTTTAAATAACGGAACTGTGCTTCGCTACATTTTGATTGAATCGGTGGAAATAAACCAACCAACAAGTGTAAAAATTATATGTTTACATTCAGAGAGGACAAACCGCGCACGGGCTCGTTCGATTAACCGAGTTATATGGTCATTCTACTGTTTGTCGTGTTTCAATCCGAAACAACTTTAGTTAACACGCTGAAACTTATGCTGGATGGTGGCGCACTGATAAGTTTAGAGTAGTGCAGTTTCCTCAAAAATGAAGGAACGATAAAAACAAATACATGTTACTGACCTTAATGCACTCGTCGAGTTATTGCTCCGTGTTTATTCTTTTGGCATGACTTATTGGTCTTTTCTTCCAGGGCAAGGTCAAGCGGCCGCTGGACCTGGGGTTTTGGAAGATCAGCTGGTTCTATCTTAATTCCACTCAAAGTGACACGTTCAATAATCCATGGTAAAAGTGGGTGATAATCGTCGTTGTCTCCATGCAGCAAAAAAAGTATGTTTATTTTGTGTGTTGGCCATACGCCGTAGGCCCTGAATGACGTATTTGCTCCTAACTATGGATGAGACCACGGGTATGGCTGAAAATTCATACCACAGGACAGAATACATTGAACGGTTACGTAACAGCATCATGCACATGTCATACATTTGTACCAAGGAATGGACTTCGTAGGGTTACGTAGCAAAATTCCTGTAGGCCTCCTTCATGTAAAACAAAGACACTCCATTCGTGCAAAATAATGGCGATGGAAACAACAGCATGACGTCTCAAGTGGAGGCTAAGTCGCCTAATACTCTCGGTATGCGCCATTCTTAGGTACAAATGTCGCTTACCTTGGGCATTACCCTTTACCGACGCGCATTAATTAACAAAAGACTCCTTCATACATAGATCTATGTGGGTGAGACCGTAGACGCCAGCAAGTGGTGATCCGACCTAACCTTTAGCTTGCTGCTTAAGGAATCCCACGAGCCCTTGGGAGTAGAGTCTCCTAAACTCGTGAACACTGACGCAATAGGCTCACTGCTCCACTCGTTCGACGTATTCACCAACTCCCTCCATTTTAATATTTTACTCAGCGCACACCTTGCCGAAACCGGAACACACTCTTGGCATAAATTCACTTCGTCTGTAACAGATATGTGGCAGAAAACAACAAAACGAAACAAAACAGAAAAGGCAGAAAGAGGTATATGCAAACATCAGTTGGGACATCCTTTAATCGAAAAGAATATGCAAAATATTCCTCGATCGACCCATCCGTCCACTATTCCAAACCAAAACATACAAGAACACACCGGCAAACAATCCATTTGTGAACCCTTTTCTCTGTTTTCTCACGTTCCTTTTTCTCTAAAAAGACTAATCCTTTCTCTACGGCACATGATATTCATGTTTATAGGCACGAGAAAGTGTAGTAATGGAGTTATGGATGGCACCCCTGAAGTTAAGACAACATGTAATTCTCTCTCACACGAATTTGAATCGATAGGGTGTTCGAAATAGCGCTCTCTTCTTCATATTTGATCTTGGCACGACTTACAAAAGTCCTTGCTCTGAAGTTGGATTGATGTCTTAAGCCTAGGATAATCCAAATCAGTCGATCCAAGGACAAGAATGATGTTCCAAAAACTTCACAAAATCAAAAACGTAGTGCTGAAATTATACCCTGTTCGGTCATCAGATTTATTAGTTGCATTACTGTTTTGTGGTCCGTTCATACTTAAAGAAAACGAAACCGGAACGCGACTGTGGCATCAGACCTGATTGTCGCCCTGCGAATTCGCAAACGTTTAGCACATTTTAACTCGAGTGTAGGCCTACTTCGCCGGAAATATTTCGTGGCGTCAAAACTGTTTCGCTTTTGCGTTCACCGAAAGTATGAACCGGTCTTCATGTGTTCAGATGATCTATACTAGAAACAGGAGCACATATGAGGGCTGACCAAATACGGTACTTGAGTCGCTGAGACCAAAATCTGTAAATGTGGTCAGCTGCTTTAAGAACTGGATATTTCAAAATTTGGGGTGAAAATACAGTGGAACTTGAAACTTGAATAGAGGCTGGTCCATACTGCAGACGAATGCAAAAGCGAGGCAAATCTGACATCACAAAACGTTTGCAGCGAAATCTCGCTGAAGTTGAAAAGTGTTCAGCTTTTGCGAATTCGCACTTCATCTGACATCACAAATTTGCGTTCGAACTCGCTTTCGCACGAAGTATGAACCAGCCTTAATGCAATCAAACATGACGTAGCTAAGAATATTGTGATAAGACGATTATTTCACAGATATAAACAAATTTCAATTTGAGTTAGACCCTGCTTCCGGCACTGTTGTCCGAGGTAAGGACAGACACCACTGTGCCATTGCCCTCTACAACAACGAGATGAGTTTGTATATGAGGGACTTGGAATGAGCGACGTTCCTCCTCGGGCGTTATGGCGGGTTGCGAGTTTCCTGTGCATGCGTCGGATATGAACACGTTAGGCCTACTGTTTTGCGGCACGTCCGGTCGCAGGCTAGCCTGAGGGCTTTGCACGAGACAGTGTTGGGACTGGGGCGGCACCAAACAGTTCGAGGACTGCTTCGACTGGCTGCACAGGGGCAGGCGCCGTGCCTCAGGGGAACGACATGGGCTCGACAGTCCGCAGGATTTGTTCTCGGGCCCTGTAGACCGCTGGTAGGTCCCCATGCGGAAGTTCGAGGTCGGCCGAGATGACCTAGTCTTCATGCTGCTGTGTCGCACTACGTGGTGGAACGCACGGGGAAACTTCATCTGCATCACGCACTTGCGGAAATTGTTGTTGAACACAATGTACACCAAAGTATTGAAAATGCTGTTGCTCATTGCCAACGCTTCCACAACGTAGAATAGCGTGTGGTAAAGCGCAAAATTCTCCAACAAAGAAAGGGGGATAATCACGTCGCGAGTGATAGCGAATCCATGGTACGGGGCCCAGCAAAGTGCAAACAGCGCCACCACGACGATGAGCATACGGATCGTCCTCCGTTTGGAACTCTCCGCCGCCTGTTCCTGCTCCTCCGTGTGGTGACCTCCCGGAATCTCCCGGAACCACAGCGTCTTAGCAATCAGGTAGTAGGCCACACACATTGCAACCAGCGGAACGAGGAACTCCGCAATGACCATCAGCAGTGTATAGGCTTTAATTGCGTAGCCATTCTTCCAGTTCTCTGAGCACTGTTCAACGACTGTCCCATCGGCTACTTGGACAGTGTACACCTCATTATGGATGGCTACTGGAATGGTGACTGTAGTGGAGACTAACCAGATGATGGCCAGCAAGATACCTGTCGTTCCTCTGGTCATTCTTGGTTTCAGAGGATAAGTAATCACGATGTATCTAAATAAAAAGAAGGAAGAAAATCAGATTAATTATGTCTTCGGTAGACGTCATCCATAACCCGCACAAAAACTGCCAGCTATAAGTGTAGCCTATGTCCATCATTTTTTGTGCACGTACAAATCGTCAGACTTCTTTTTGGAAAGTTTCAGTTCCAATGAAAATAATCAGTGCTTAACACTCTTTCTCGAATAAAATCCGTTGAATGTCATCAAACCGAACTTATACTGCTATCACCATGAATCGTCACCCCTCCCCCATTGATACCCAATAAGTGACTAATCACAAAATCGGTGGCGCGGTGATTCCAAACACAAATTAAGCAACCAATCAGAGACATGGTAAGACGTACACTGATGAAACAGCCGATCAGAGAAAGGGTAACATGTTTGTTCGGTGCACTTTCAAAACTCACTGTGCACGGGATGACTCGGCCCGTGCAAGGGGGCGTGGCAAGTAGGCAAGTGAATGGACAGACTGATGCTTCTAATCAATTCCCGCACACGGCATTTAATACGTATATTCTTATCGAGTGGGGCGAGGTTTTGCCCCAATAATAGCCTCCGCTTGATTAAGTCTTGCCAAAGCGTACCAAATCCCGGTGGGGTATTTGTGAAAATATCGAAAAACTTTGAATGATCCTTATAGGTCGGAAAGGGCCTGAGGTTCAAACCTATCTTGGTGACGATTTCTTCCATTCTTACGGCCATCATTAAACATTCCCGGCCTTCCATTCCTAATCGAGGCTATTTTTATGACAATTCAGAACGAAATTATAGGCCCTAAGCCTGTCTTGAGACGTTTTAGTATGCATTTCTGACTCTAGTGGAGCCTTGTATGTAACAGTGCGAACTAGGTTCCGCTGTTTAATCAATAAACTACTGTAATAAATTTATTTTCTCCCAAACCAATTCTTAGAAAATGTTGCTTTATGTCGGTTTTTTTATTTACTTAAAAATTATTCTTCGAATAATAATTCGGGGAATGTGAGACCCTAGCATAACGTTTTCATTGCTAATTTATTCTTTTTGTTATTTTTGTATTAATATAATGCACTGTACTCTTTTAAGTATGGACAATAATCGGAGTTAAACGGGCAAGGGGAGAAAGATGGGGTACATTCCATCGATCGTTTCGATCCTGGCAGAATCTTTCTTCTTGAGAAAGATTATGCTTCGATCGAAACGTCAGGCCCTCCAAATTTTGTGATTTGTATTTTAGGTCACTGTAGTCAGCAAGCAGTTTGCAGCAGTTTTGTATCTATACACCTGCTCTGGAATTTGGACAATTTAGTGAGTACAGTACTTGGGATGAGGTCCTGTGGCATAGTCACGCTGCCAGTTTTATTTTTTTAGTTGGAGGGAATCTTTTAATTGATCGGCTCTTTGGGCAGAAAAAATGAGTTTTTATAATACAGAAATGTGGATAATATGCCCAATGACTTAAACAGCAAACAACGCATGCGAATCTTGAAGCAGTCAAAAACACCCAAACAAATAAAAGAAGTAATGGGTAAAAAGCTCCATAACCTGTTCCCTTTCTGAAATGTGGCTACTAACGCTTTCTCACTTTCAGTTGCCCTGATAACGAAACAAAATAAATGATTTATTCAGTAATTTATGTTTAAAAACCCTTACGTTCTGAAGACTATTTGTTCAAGTGCTCCCTTCTCACATCTGCATCCGCTTTTGTAAGACGACACAAAAATGCCCAGGTTTCGGAAATACAACCGGCACAAAACTCAGAGATCTTACCGCTTCATTAGTGCCACTTAGTGGGTTGCAAGGACCACTTACCTCGCTAAGTCCTGAACTCCGACTGCCATTAATTGTTTGCATAATGGACCCCCCGGACACGACATTTCTTCCTTAAGTAGTAAGGCGATGCAGTTCTGAAATAATGTAAGGTCTTCACCCTGAGCGAGAATACAACTAAGACAAAAAGCGCTATTTTCTTTGCCTCCTACAGTTGATCGGGTGCGATTCAAGTGGGCATTTATAAAATGCCACTCGTTTTTTTTTTTTTTTATTCGATGGTCCTTAAAAAGGTTCTTGGGTATTCGAGGAACAACTTTAGTCAAAAAATGGAGGAACTCATGCTTTGCCAACAACGCGCATCAATTCAAAGTTTGTCCAGGTCGCAGTAGAGCTCCAACACTAACCCAAAATGAATAAATCCATTACGCCAACGTCATAATAAACATCGTTGTGAAGAATGTTTGCAACAAAATGCGGTCAGAGCGCTGCAATGCTACATTGGTGCATCTTGGGTTGGTTATTTTAGTGGGAGGAGGAAATTGAGATTTTTAAAGAAGAGGTTACCTTTATTCATATCTAAAAGAACCTTCCCTCAAAACTTAGGGTTATAGAACCATTTCTAAAGCATGAATGCTTTCAACTTCGTCCTAAAAATGTAGCATCTCCTTAGGGCCAACTTGCCACCCCATCCCCGCAACATATACCAAGGCATGAATCACAGCTTTGAATTTATTTCCCCAGGCTGTCCTGTCGTTACTGGCGCTGACAGTCACCCCATTTAAAACGCAAACGCAGAGGTGTTTGTTGCATCCTTTTCTACGCTTCCTCAAAAGATTCTCTTTCCTGCCTCCCATAGAAAGGAAAACACCTGCTGTTAGGGGTGGAGTTGCTTCCGCGGATCAATTTTAATGCTTGACGGCTGACATTTTATACAATATAATTCTAGCAGGTCTATCAGGTCTATCCTTTAAATTGCCTCTGCCACACATAAAAGGTCGTCAAGCCGCTTGATCTGCATATTTTGAATATTCCGTTTTTGTTTGTTTGTTTGTTGGGGTGTTGGGGTGTTTGTTTGTTTGTTTGTTGTTGGGTGTTGGGGTGTTTGTTGGGTTGTTTGTTTGTTTGTTTGTTGGGGTGTTTGTTTGTTTGTTTGTTTGTTGGGGTGTTGGGGTTGNGTTTGTTTGTTTGTTTGTTTGTTCGTGAATAAAATGTCCACGAAGTGAAAATACCCCCCAGATTAAAACCTTATTTTTTGAACTGTGTTTTGTCGTAATTATAGACATTAATTGACTTGTTAGGGATGGCTTTTTCAACTGACTAAATTGACGAAAATGGCATTTTGGATTCAATGAACACCTTGTGTTATCATCAAAACAGTCCCACATTTCGGAAACTAAACACTGTAAGTATGGCTGCATCTGAATGGGTAGTTTATGAGTTTTCCATTGCTGCTCTAAATGTATTTCTGCAATCAGGAATGAGTGTGCGCTATAGACCTTTCTCACCCACGTGACTGGATTGTGCTAAATGGAAGCAATACCACCACGTGTGGACCGTCTTCGCCTCGGTGATCGCACTTATATCTACGGGCAGCTTCAACCACGTGCAAGCGCAAGTGCAAACACTGTGTGCTTGACTAGTTTATCTTGAATAGGTAAATTACCATCACAACACAATGCAACATTACCAACACAACACATCGCGGTCTAGCAAGATCATGACTTTCAAGTTGGATTATTCATCCAAGTCAACTAAACAATGTACTTGCAAACGTGGGCACAGTTGTTGCTCAGCCGCACGTGACGAACGATGATACTGCGCCTCAGCTCAGGTACCTTTTTGAACAGCGGAGCTCTGGTGTCCTCAGACGTCAGTGGTTGGTGCGGGACGGTGCCCCAGCTTATAGCCTTATTGCTACCCTAGATCCTAGATCGACTGAGGGGACTCTTCGAAGATAGAGTGATTGCCCTCCATCAAGCAGTAGAGTAGTCACCTAGGTAATCTGATCTTACACCCGGCGATTATTTCCTGTGGGGACATTGGAAGATCAGTATATTTAAGTCGTCCACTTGATGTAGCCGTTGTATGGCCCATGAGCCCACATGGTGAACGAAGTCAGCGTCTTGCCCTAATATCCAACAGGGCTGAGAAAAGCTTTCTAAGAAACACACTGTCACTGTGAAATTTGTGCTGATAGGGGAGGAAGACATGCCGAAGGTGTTGATGAACGAAAGGGTAAATCTTATCGTCACTGTTTCCACGAAGAGACGCGTATGTCAAATATCACAATTATGTTTATTTCGATTTTTGTGACTATTTTGCTTTACAACATCGTACTTAAACATTTGACATGCTTCCAAAAGACCAACATCATTAGTATCAAATTTACATTTAACGGTGCCAGAGATAGACATTCGATAACTGCATTTTTCATTTTCACGAAGAGGGGTAAACATGCTTACCCCTTGAACACGTACAAATCGTACTACCCTGACAGGAATTAAAGTAGGTCAACTGGGATTTTCGTTTTCACATCTTTGCTACCTTTATAGCTGCGAGCACAAGCGTGTCCACAAGCCTCCTGTTGATACAGTTAGGCATTTATTTGATAAACGACCTCAGCCCTCCTCTCTGAGCAACGAAAGTAGCATCAACAAGAGCAAGGTCGCATTTCAAGCTACCACCTCGGGCTATTTACTAAACCAGCAATTTCTCATTGAGAATCAGCGACGTCCTCCCATGATCCCCCAAGGATTTCCCAGTTGATCCAGTTATATCCAACAGCATCCTGCAGGAAGACCAAATTTTGCCTCCACAACACCTCAGGGGCAAGACGTTCCACTGCATAGGACTTGTGCAGGAGATCCAGAATTATGGGTACGTTAACTTATAAGGACAAATAAATGATATTACACCTGGGAGCAACTTTCCCAGACCCAACAGGCAGTATTTTCGTGTTTTTTTCTTGTGTTCAATCGTACCTCTAGTCTCCCTGCTCTTAAATTGATAGGAAATGCGGCAAAATTCTACTAAAGCTCTTTTGTTATACATTACAAAATGCGTAGAGGAACTAATAATGGCAGCGCTGGCTCTAGACGCTTTAGGAACACCTATTGCCTAGAATCACACAGTGAAGCTCTTATGTTAAGACACGTGTTATATACCCTGAAATATATTTTTAGAAAATCTCTTGTTCGGGTAAAAGCTACTTGCTTCCTTTATCAGCTGCAAAGATATAATACA